CGAAACCAGAAACCAAACTCACAACTGCAAGACACTCAAGGTTGGAGATGGTTGGAGGCCATCACTAGTAGAGGCCATCGCAACAAGGTTGGAGGTCCTCGCTACAAGGTTGGAGGTGCAATAAGGCAGGGCCACAGGGGTGTTGTTCTCGCCGTGGTTTGCTTTCATGGTGGTTCATGTAGTAGTGTATGTTGATGCATTTTGCGCCTCACTGTTTTGAGTCTTGTGCACCACCATCGCCTCCAACCGTGTAGCGACAACCTCCGACCTTGTTGCAATGGCCTCCACCCTGCTAGTGATGGCCTCCAACCGTTTTTCAGTGTTGTTTTTTGCAGTTTTGAGCCTTGTGGGCCGCAAGAGCTAGGATCAGTATGAAGTTCCCCTTGACTTGATGGAACGGAAAGAAGCACAAACCGCAAGGTGGTAGAGTCAGCGAACTTGTAGATGTTTAACAAAGTTTGGAAATGCAGTAGCGGCTTACTGCAAAACACAGGATTGGACAGCTTGTCAACAGTTGAAATAAAGCAGGTACGTGCAATCTGCGTCCAGATCATATCACAGCAAACTTGAAGTGTCTTCGTTGAGCGGTGACTTCAAGAATGCCCACCGCTCCCCTGCTGCATGGAAACAAAACCGAGTGAGACAGTATCACAAAGTTGTCCAATTGAAAGTGTCGTGAGTTGGTTGTGAAATCCTTGGAAACAGGCGTTGACACACACACACACACACTTATGGATACTTATGGATATGCGTACTGAACTGAAAGCGGTGCCACACGCCGGCCTAGGGTTCCAATTCCTAAGAGTACCGGTAGGGAACCAGCGAACCCTGGGGGTCTTCAAACGGAGAAGTGGCCCAAAAGGAAAAGATCGAACGACGAACGAACAGGCTGACGACGACCCGCTCGCATCTGCAGTTCAAAGAAAAGAAAGCATCAGATCTTCGAGGTTCTTGGCTTAGCCTCACGCCATGCGGGAAAATGGAAAAATGCAGGTACGTTCGGATGATCAGTCCGAATATCCCACTCTGTGACCTAGCTTCGTTGAACTGGGTCAGCCACAGAGTGCCCAGTTCCCCTGCTGCAAAACGAAAGCACCAAAAGCGAGAACAGTCCAAAAGGATCCCTGTGATTCCAAGGGTTACACACACACACACGCCTCCCCGAAGGGAGGCATGTGTGACCTCCATCCTGCCCGGAAAGGAGGTGGGCACATGTGCGCGCAAAAGGGACAGATGAAAATGAAAAGGACGAGACAGACAAAGGTGTGTGTGTGTGGTTGCCGATGAAAAGGAACCAAGTGAAGAGGGACAACCGCTGAGCCAAACCTCATTGTAACGAACCTGGGCCACCTGAACCTTGCTGTAAGTAGAGTACGCGTGCGTGTATGTGTACAAACTAAGGTCCGGACGAAAGTGCGCGCAAGAGAAAGAAAGGATGAGGATGAAGAGACATGAAGACAGAAGGACATGAAAGAAAAGAAGGGAAAAAACGTCTGTGGGGGCGGATGAAAGGGGAACCAAGTGAAAGGGGACAAACCGATGACAGTCCAAACCTCATTGAGAAATCGGTTGCAGAAGCCTAGTTTGCTTGTAAATACGCCACGCGCGAGGAAAGAGGGGGGAGGGGAGGAGGAAAAGAGAAGGAGGGAGAGAAGGAAGCAAAGGTGTTCCCAGCTACGGCCCAAGCGTCCAAGGACACACCCCAAAAAGGTAGGGCTCCCAGCTATGACGAAAGCATCCAGGGACGCCCAAGGAAGAGGGTGGAGAGAGGAAAAAGAGAAGGAAAGAAAGAGAGAGGGAGAGAAAGGGAGAGGAGAGAAAGGAAGGTGTTTCCAGCTACGAACAATCGTCCAGGGACACACCAAAGAAAGAAAGAGGAGATCCTGAGTATTACATTCAGGAAAACCCCAGAAAGCAAAGAGAGAAAGGGGGAGGGAAGGGGGAGAAGGGGGGGCTATATAAGTTCTCCACAGGTTCCAATGAACCTTAAACTGGCTTTGACCGCTGTGGTCACCTTGTGCCCTGCCGAAATGGCTGGCTGCTTTGACCGCTGCGGTCACGTACAGGCATGAGCCAACTTGGAATTCCAAAGATGAGACAAAAATCATCGTACGTTCGGCCTAGGCCACCTTTGCCCGCTGTGGGCACTTACGTTTCCAAAGCAAGGGAAACAGCGACAAACCCCCGTTCGACGGGTCCACGGGAGGCACTCTGCGGGCTCATCCCGGGTTGGCACAAGGCCAAACACACTTATGGATATGCGTACTGAACTGAA